TGATGTTGTCAACTCTTACAGAGTAATCTTTCCACTCTTAATAAACCACACTGGTGAGTTTTTATAACGATTAACAGGAATTTATTCATAATGCAAAATTCACAAGGGACACATATAAACCAAATATGACATCCGCTCTCTCCAAGAGCGCAACCCCTTCTCCTATTTTTTTCCCCACGCACTCTCTCTCCTTCCACCACACGACGTCATAATAATGGCGTCACCTGTTATAACAGGTTATAATCACAAAAATTCGATTTATGTTTGAAAGAACATTAATATGCATATCCAAGAAAGAATTTGTATCCGGATAATATAAATTTTAAACCCTTTCTCAATAGATAAGAATTTATTATTTTGTGAAGAATAATGGTAGGTTCTGATATAAAGAAACAAAAAGTTTATTTCTGAAATTGATATTAAAAACAGTTGAATACATTTAACTTATTTGGATTCAATCTATAAATAGCAAGCTTAGTTTTCATAAGTTTAGGAGTATGTTTCATATTATTTCGTTTAAAGGATTCATTAAGTTGATCAAAATTATGCTTTAAAAAAATATACAATACTTAAAACTAAACTTAAACAATACTTAGAGATATTTAAAAATATTTTTCATTAGAATACTTAGCCAATTATAGTTCTCAGAATAATTTTATTATTTGTATAAGAACTTCACGTGTAAAGTATTTAAGTGCACTTGTGGCAGATTTAAATCATTTGATGGAAATTTTAGCCAGCAATTATCAGAAAAGCCAAACTTGATATAAGTTACTACCTACCATAATAGCAGAGATGCAAACTGCTCCGGACACGCCTATATAATTAATAAAACGGTAAATAACTACAACGTAAATTTTGCAAATATTTGACTATTTTTGCTTGCTTTTTAAGATGTCTAGCTTAGCCTAGTGATTAAAAAGTGGTAAATTATATAAACTTGCGAATTATTTAGAAATAGTGGTGAATAAAAATCTATTAAATTGAATTTATAAAACCAAGAATCACTATTGATAAACTACCACTTTAAAATATATATTTGCTGTCAGGAGCAAGTTGGCATCTCTGTAATAGGATCCTGTAAGAAAACTTATTTATTAACGTTCCTTTACCTCAGAATCACAGTTAATAGGCTTAGTGATTGAGCAATTAAACGTGTTCGTGTATTTTCAGTAACGCGGATAAACAGCAATTTCTCAATATTTTTAATTAAAAGACGTTGTTGCTATTTTTACAAAGAATTTAAAGATTTATCCCATCATATAAAAATTGTAAGAATTAATATTTACTTACTTGCTAATGAAAATCCAGCAATGTTGAACAATTGAAACTCAAACTCACTTCAAATACATACATCCAGTAATCGTTAAGTACTGGTTTGTTAGAACAGATCGCGTAGGTGAACGTCAACGACAACTGAGCGTCAACTCCTGATTGGCCAATTTGTGGGTGGATCAGAATACGTCATCGGTCGCCGCGCGTTAGCGTTACCTGCAGTTCGAATCCATTTCGCTCTGATTCCCACGTGCAGTTGAGGTGGACGTAAGTAAATCAATCGAAGATATGGCGGAATCCAATGAATATTTTGAAGAAAAATTGATTTCAGAAGTAAAAAAGAGACCTCTCCTCTACACTGTAAAAACAAAATCTTACAAAGATTCCATAATAAAAAATAATCTATGGCTTGAAATTGGAGAANAAGTGAGTTGACTAACCCCTTAAATTTAAGCATAATTAAATACTAACGGCGACCGTACAGTAACTAAAAACATGTGTTGACATCAAAGGTCGCCGACAGTTTTTTTCCAAGAAAAGGAGTGTCTGAGGAACTTCCTGGGGAAAATGTCCTCATTGCGCTAACGCGTTAAGGGGCGAGAAGAAAAAGATGAAGACAATAAAAATTGTATCATAAAATTATAAATTAAGCCGAAAAATTAAGTATTTTGATTAACAAAACGGGATATTTAGAAATTAGGCTGTGACTTAATGTCACAATGACAAAAGGGTGGAGATGGTTTCCAAGCAGCTGAAGATACCGCTGACCAGTCAATGTGACATCCAGAACGACCAAGGGGCCCATTCCATGCCACGAAAATGCACCCCACACCATGACTGACAGGCCACCGGCCTGGACTGTGCCCACTTGGCATGCTAGATCCATCGCTTCGTGCGGTGTGCGCCTCCCATCAGCATGAAACAGTTGATAACGTGATTCATCAGGCCAGATCACGTTACGCCACTGTTGCAGTGTCCATCCGTGGTGATTGGTGGCAAATGCACGCTGAAATGTCCGATGACGCTGGGTTAGCAGTGGCACACGTGTGGGTCGACGGCTCTCATACCCGAGAACACGCATGTTCCGACGGAGTGTCCACTGGGTCCATCACGGCCAGTGTTGAATTCAGCCGTGATTTGTTGCGCCATTTGCTCTCCTATCTCGAGTTACCACTCGTCTCAGGATTCGCCTGTCTCGGTCATTTAGGGACTATGGACACCCGGTATGGTGTCTGTTGTGGACCTTGACACACTCATTCACCGGTAATTCTCGACACGGTGGACCTTGAGAAGCCGAATTCTTGAACCACTTCCGAAATGTCCCATGTCTAACATACAACTGAGACCGTCGCGGAGGCCACCAGGTGGCGTTGGTCACACGTGCTGTCTATCCACAAATCAGAGCCCTGCTATCCCATGAGTTTTGCTCAGTCAGTGTATGTTATTTCTTGCATCTAAAACCCTCCTGATTGGTATGCCACACCTTCTTTTTTGACAAGTGATGCATTTCGGCGTTTTATAGCTAGCCTTATTTTATGGAGTGCAAGATTGGCGACAGCCTTGCTCCTACGCTTTCGAAAATAAGGCTACGGCTGCTGACTTGGAACTTATTGGTATGGCTGTGGCTTTTTCCAGAAGCTTCAGATGCTGATAGGTACCAAGGTTAAATTCTAAAAGAGCATCGCATACAGCCAAATTAACTAGATGGAAACTTGCGGATGTCTGTTTTGAACACTTGCTCCATATTACGCTATGTAAGCTGTCGTAAGCATTTTGCGTTTCACAATTAATGCCCCCTGAGGGGGTTTACCTTCTTCAGGTAAATACAGGGAGTCACGCCCCGGGGTACCCTAGTGATCTGTTCTCCCTTCGTTTTCCTCTCCCTTTACTCCTACTTTCTCCTCCCTCTTGTCNTCGTAAGCATTTTGCGTTTCACAATTAATGCAGCGCTGTAGGAGCGCATCTGCAGCAAGTCGCTGATAAATTGCTAGAATTTTGGCCAAGTGAGCTTCACTTAGTGGGGTGTTTACATTCTTTCGATAGGTTCCTGGTGTTTGATTTTTAGCTATTGCAGCGTTATTAAAACACCATGAATTTGGACCAGGAGGGCACTTAGAATGCTGAGGCTTTTCATCAATTGAAATGCTGTGAAACAACGCAGCATAAATTGCTGTTTTCATAGCCCCAACATCACCTTTGTTTTGCCGAATGGCATTCTGATAATATCGAGTCAATTTCTTTATTGTATCCTCCTTTAAACTGCCGTAGAATTTTCCTCCCAAGGTAACACCTCTGCTACGCCATTCTTTTACACTATTGCGTAGTGCAGTTCCCAATCGTTTGCTAACATGGTTAACACGCTCTTCCTTTTTTATTTCAACATTGTCATATTTTTCTTGAGTTCAAATATGTAAAAGTTTTGGCATCACCATCTGATAGAATTGTAACGTATCGGAAACCCAACTTTTCAGATCTATTCCACAATATTAGAGCGGCTTCCTGCTCCCATCGCTGAGGAAGAGCCTTTATGGTTGATAGTGCAAGAGTTCAGATGGCCACTATACCATACGTCAAACTGGCGTTTTCTCTCCCAAGTTCATTGCCTGATTTTTCGCATTCAAGGCATCGCTTTGACATGATTTGGAAGTCAATGGCAAAGCCTGAAAAAATATCCATTATGCATCCCACACCAACTTGTGATGCATGTCCCCGTGTTAACCAAGTTCCATCGAACAACACACCTATATCAAGTATTTCAGTGTTTTTGCAAACATATGCATCCTTTACTTTAGCACAAATATCACGCACATGCTCTTTGAAAAGTTTGCTACTTGAGTTACACAATTTCTTCTTATGATTATTAAAAATTCTACTCGACATTAAATCCAAGTTTATGAGCATTGAGAATTGTCGATGGGCTGCATATCCTTTTCCAATATTCAGAAAGGCTTGAACTATGCGTCTGTTGACATCAATTATTTTTTCTTGATTTTGCACTATTGTCTTTGAAGTTGATATTTTTTTATCTGAAAGGGAACAATTTGAGCAAAATAGTTCTATCTTTACAGACAGTCCCTGTTTTTCTCCAAACGAAATAGAAATAGTTTGCTTCTTGCATGACTTACACAAAACATTATCAGAAAGTTGGTTTACATCATCTACAAGGGCATACTGGGGTACCAAAGCTTCAGTCTTAATTAATGTTGACGCACACAAGTCATGCAAATTTGATTGTCTTTTATTTTGCTTATTATTCAAATCAGACGAAGCACTAGTTAAAGCTATATCTACACTAGGATTAGGACACCAACGCTTACTTGCATTTTGCCTAGCAATCACTAATGAACGCTTTGGTCTTGGCATCGTTATGAAACGTCAACAAAAGATTATAAACAAGCAAAATAAATAAAAAAAATAGACTAAGATTTAAACAAAAACAATAAATTTAACAGAGTGGTCTTGAAAAAAACCTTTTTTTCTACAAAATATATGAAAAAATAACGGACGACTAATTGTGAACAGACGGAAAACGATAAATTGCACGCTGCTAATTTGTAGATTGATAAACAAATCAATTCACTCTAAAGTACTGGTTTGTTAGAACAGATCGCGTAGGTGAACGTCAACGACAACTGAGCGTCAACGACAACTGAGCGTCAACTCCTGATTGGCCAATTTGTGGGTGGATCAGAATATGTCATCGGTCGCCGCGCGTTAGCGTTACCTGCAGTTCGAATCCATTTCGCTCTGATTCCCACATGCAGTTGAGGTGGACGTAAGTAAATCAATCGAAGATATGGCGGAATCCAATGAATATTTTGAAGAAAAATTTATTTCAGAAGTAAAAAAGAGACCTCTCCTCTACACTGTAAAAACAAAATCTTACAAAGATTCCATAATAAAAAATAATCTATGGCTTGAAATTGCGGAAGAACTTGGAGTTGAAGGTTTGTAAATATTTATTTAATATATTTAAAATTGTAACTTATTCAATTATTTTATGCAGATAAATCAATTTTAAATTTATATTACAAGAATGAAATATTTTCTTTGACTCTGAATTACATACTTTCTTTGACTTTGAATTCTGTTGATAAATTTATAAAGATTGAACTATATATTTTTTTATTTTTAAAACAGGGAAATAATTTATTTTATCAATGGGTGAACCTTTTCCATAGGAAAATTTTTCAATTTATTAATCTTGTTTTTTAAGTTACAAAACAAATTATCTCACCCTTTATGACAAATCAATTACTCTTAATATATTATATATGACTTTGTACACTGGTGTTCAAAAGTTAAATCATATTTTTACAGACTTGCAAATTTTCAGATACCAGTGCAATTAGAAAATTGTGACTTTATGTGTATGAATGAGCTTAATTTTTTTTATAAATACTTCAATTTGCTTTATAAGCATGGAATTTTTACCCACAATTGTACATGTAGGTAATTTAGCATTTAAAAATGCTTTATTTTTTAAAACTAGTTGTTCAATCAGTTTGTTAAGCACCCAAATTTGTTTTAGCTTCTTGAATGTTTATCACCTTTTCTAATTTATATAAATCCTCTTCACTAAATTTCATTGTACCTATCTGTTTTTAGTGGAAATGCTAAAAAAGAAATGGAAAACCATCCGTGACTATTATACGAGAATTAAAAGAAAACTGCCAACTGGTTCAGCTGCGAAAAGAAAGTGCACTACTGAACTTCAACGACTGGATTCTTTAAGGTTTTTAGATGGAACCTATTTGTTAACTAATGAGTAAGTCTTATTTTTAATATGATGTATAGACTAATTTAATCAAAATTGTAGAATGTAATTTACATAAAGCTAAGTAGGATAGCTTTTGTTTAAGAAAACATTTTTTCCTGCAACAGACAAATAGTGGCGTTTTCAGCTATATGAAAAAAAATAAAAGAATCTACTAACGGTACTATTCAAACAAATGCTGACAAACCAAAACTCTGTCATGTTATCAGTAAGTTTCCTGCTATTTGTAGCTATTTGTCGGGACAAGTATTACTGCTATAAACATACATTTTTATTAGCATACATTTTCATACGATATTTTTAAAACATTCCTATGATATAGCAACTGATGCATGTGTTTTAATAGTTATATATTCTATTAATTTAATAGAAAATGAGTAAAATTTAAGATTTAGTTTAAAGATAGCTTTATTACATTATCTGATAAGGGTGAAGTATTATTTGAAATATATATTTTTAGACTTATGAAGGACATTATTATTATTCAGACATTTAAGCTTATGAAATAAATTTATTTCATAAAATGTGTTAAGTGCTTTAATTTTTTCTAGACAAATTATTCTAATTTTATATACGAGAAAAAACATCAGAAGTAAATTATGCTTCGTTCCTCATTCTGAGAATATGGCACTTTTGTAGTTTACGAAGTTAATTTATTTTCTAAAACATAATTATTAAGCTTTATTATAAAGAGTGTCTCTTAAACACTATTATTAATTTATTGCAGGACAATCTCTAATGTTGAAGATAGCTCATTTGTAGAGGAATCGCAGGCTGATGAAGAAATTCGCGC